AGCAGCCAGAGTGATTTTTCTAAAGTGTTCATCAGTCCCACTGCCACATTTCAAAGTCCTTCCGAGGCTTCCCGATGACCTTAAGATAAAGCCCAAAAGCCTTTCACACGACTTACAAGGCTCTGGCAACCTGGCAACAGTCGGGCCAGCCTCTCACACTGTAGACGTTTTGCAGTGTATTATATAATAGCATATAAGTCAGCAGCCCATTTTTACAAAAACCTAAATAACTGTACATAAACATAGAAAATAACTAGCATCTATTGGAACTTGTGTCTGTGCAGAGCCATGATGCACTGAGCAGTTTACTGTGTACCATCTCACTCCTCATAACTGTGTTGGCTGAGTACTGCTAGCATATCCTTTACAGAGGAAGAAACTGAGGCCCAGAGAGGTCCCCAGCTAGTGAGGGGCAGAGCCAGACTCGACTCCAGGTCCACCAAGTCCAAAGGCCATGCTCTTCATTGTCATGGTCGGTGCCTCTGTGCAAGTTGGGGATAATAATAGCTCCCACCTAATCGGGTTGCTGTGAGGATTAAATGAGTTAAGACGTGTGAAGCTCTCAGAACAGCTCCAGGCACCGCGTCAGGGCTCAGTTAGTATGGTCACCCACAGCAGCATTGCACTGACTCTGGGGAGGCCCTGCAAGATCATACTAAAAAATATTCATAGTGCTCTGCTCTGGTTCTAGAGTCACAAGTGATCTCCCCCCTCCCTCAGCAGCATTGCACTGACTCTGGGGAGGCCCTGCAAGATCATACTAAAAAATATTCATAGTGACCTGCTCTGGTTCTAGAGTGACAAGTGATCTTCCCCCCCACACACACAATGACCAGGTATTACTTGTGTATTTCTTTTTATATTCTTCCACATATGGTGCCCTTGGTGAGCTGTCAGTCTCCTCAAGGCAGGCACATTGATGTCTGAGTCACCTCCCAGGTTCCCCCCAAGGCCTGGCACAGAAAGAACCCTAGTAAATGATCAGAGCAGGAAACAGCTCAGAAGAGCCCCTCTCAGCCCAGGCACTCTGACCACATGCTTGGCAGGAGTGGGAGTTGGGGTGAGGGTGCCCGAGCTAAGTCTGCCCTTTGCTGGCATTCCCCAAAAGGCACCGGGAGATGCCTCATGGCGCTTCCGGGCCCCAGGGGAGTGGTGGGAGCAGCCGTGGTGCATGAGACCTCCGGCCCTGAATCCACCAACAGCTGTGACCACTTCAGCTATTTTAAACCCTTGGGCACCAGGAAACTCCTGTCCAACATCGTGGCCTGAGCCAGGGCAGGAGCCCTGAGTGTGGGTGGCCAGGTCAGGGATGGCTTTTTTTAAGGGAAGGGGGTTTCATTTCTTGACAGCTCGCCTTGTGCCAGACTCTGTGCTCGTGTTTTCCGTACATCGTTGTCTCATTTAACACCCTCACATTGTGCTGAGAGATGAGTTATTTCACAGATACTGAAAATGCAGCTCTGAACCACGGGGTGGATGGTCCAAGGCTGCACATAAGCAAGGCTGGGACTAGAACCATGGCTTGATCTCCTCTCTGAAACACGGACAACGTTCCTCCTGTGCCCTTGCCCAGCTTTGCTCCTGCTTCTGCCCACCCCCCTACCCTCATGGCCTTACAAGTTCCTATCCTGGCCCTGCCACTCTCAGGAGCTATGTCACCAGGGTAAATTTTCAACCTCTCTGTGGTTCACTTTCTTCCTCTGCATAGTTTTGGGGTTATTGGGAGGGTATAATGATCTAATTCCAATACATGAAAAGTGCCACTTGGAGCAGTGCCTGGCCCGCAGAAAGAAGTAAGTGCCTGCTGTTATTCCTGCCGTCCTGGTAATCACAGGATTACCTTTTGCCTGACGTTATCACTACCCTGCTCCTCTGATGACCTGCCTGGACCTCCATCAGTGGGGGTGCAGTGTCCTCCCTTCACTGTGGGCCCCAGAGTGAGTGAAAAGAAAGGGTCGTGCTCTGTGACTCCCAGGAAGGTGAAAACCCTGGCGTATGCCTAGTACGTGCCACACAGTGAAGGTCACTGGCCCACCTCGGTGGGGGGTGGGGGGGCCTCACAGTCAGCTCGCAGCCACACAGGTTTTTTCCCACGTTGGCAGGTGGCTACCCGCGAGCTGCCCTCTGATTGGAGGATGTACTTAGCCCTCCAGGAGCCAATCAGAAGTTACTGGCCTCTCCCCGGTACGTGACCAGTGCCTTTGGGGGGCAAGTGTCCCCAGCCGGAACTCGGGACTTCTCCCTTCCCCACCCACGTTCCTCCCAGATCCCCACCGCCCAGGAGCAGCTGGGCTCTTCACCACTCCTGATTTGGGCGGCCTCAGGGAGAAGGTCAGAGTCAGGGGGCTGGGCTAGTGTAGCTCTGGGCACTTCCGAGCCCCATCCCTCTTGTCCAGGTGTACCTCTTCATGAGCTCCCATCCCCCCATCAGCCTTACCTTCTTCCCAAACATGCATCCCCTCTGCCCTACCCCTTCCCTCTCATAGCCTCTGCCCACCCACCCTCCAGTTCCCACCACCACCACCACCAAAGACTATTTACCCACACATGGCTGAATTATCTGAACAGCCCCTCGCTTGGGTCACAGGGAGGAGAGTCTGGAAAGGGGCTGATTCAGGAACCTACTGATTGTCACTTGCACCTCAGCCTCCACGGGACACAAACTGCCCTCTACAGTGACACCCCCCTTCACTCAGTGGCCCAGGCAGAACTGGGGGCCCGACTCCTCGCCCCCTGCCTGTCTCTCAACTCGCACATCCTGCCAGTCACCAGGGGCCGCTGAAATCTCAGTCCGAAAACACTGGTCAGATCAGTCCCCTCCTCTCCAGTCCTCTCTCGCTGCCCAGCCAGGGTCTTCACTGCCCCCAACTCCCACCCCGCCAGCCCCCTCACCAGGGGTACCAGGGGCACCGGGGACAACCAGAATGATCCACTTCACTACCACACCTGACCACTCCTAGCTGAGGGAACCGTTCCAGGGCTCCCATCGCCCACCCACCAATGCCTTCGCTTCGCATTCTGGCCCCTGTCGCCACTGGGTTCCCCACTCCCACCCCGCTCCCCATTTTCCCTATGGTCATGTCCATCTAATTGATAGTGGGGGAGGGGCTATCAGGCTGTATTCAGCTCCCTGGCTTTGCTGTGGCAGCTCCCTCTCCCCCTTACGTTGCAAACGCCCCTTTTAAGAAGGCTCAGGCATCCCCCTCCTCCGAGAAGCCTTCGTGGACGCCAGGCTGGGTTAGGGCACCTCTCTGTGCTCCCACCAACTCCTGTCCTGTCCCTGTGGCAGATCCACGTTTGCATTTTCTGCTCCACTGGACTGCGGCGTCCGGAAGGCAGGAGGGGCCCTGAGTTCCCGTCCCCGGCGGGGGGAGGAGGTGAGGAGCGAGTTGGGGAGGGCGGGGCCACGCTTGACGGACGGGCCCGCGGCCCACTAGGAGAGGAGTCCGGCGGGCCGCCCCGCCCACCGGCGGCAGGATAAAGGGGCTCGCCTGGGAGCGGCGGGCGCGTGCTGCTGGAGAGGGCTCACCTGCGGCAGGTGCTCCGGGCGCACCTGGACGAGCCAGCGCGGGCACAGGGCCGGGAACTGCGGGCGGGGAAGATGCTGCGCGAGCGGACCGTGCGGCTGCAGTACGGGAGCCGCGTCGATGCGGTCTACGTGCTGGGCACCTACCTCTGGACCGACGTCTACAGGTGAGCGCGGCCACCGCGCCGCCCCGACATCCCACCCACCGCGGCCTGCAGCCCGAGATCTCGCCCCCAGAAATCCCGAGACCCTCTCGGGACTTCTCCCTTCCCCACCCACGTTCCTCCCAGATCCCCACCGCCCAGGAGCAGCTGGGCTCTTCACCACTCCTGATTTGGGCGGCCC